CATGTTTAAAGTTCTAGCGCTTTTAATTAATCAAAAACTTGCTTGTCTGTTTTCCACGGGCCTTATATTTTTTAAGGATGCATCAATTTTAATGATGGCAACATTTTGTTAGCTAGTCTAAACATAATTCCAGGCATGAGAGGGAATGAATAAATCTGTCTGTTTTGCTCTCTATTTTATTTAATATTTTAAATATTTCAAATTCTTTGGATAAAGAAATATTTCTGTGTGTCAGAAATAATAAATTATATGAGACATGTTATCTCTGGGCATAAGACCTCTTTCAGTAGTTGCATCCTGGTTATTAGAGAGATTAATGGACCCTGAACAAAAGTAGGCCTTCTTTATTTAAAGGCTGAATTTCCAGTCAGGTCTCTTTTTCCCTACAATAGTGTTTTTCAAACTTAAAAGTAACAACTTTAAGATGTGTGAACTCCAAGAATTGGTTCTGGGAGTTAAAGTCCACACATCTTAAAGTTGTCAAGATTAAAACTCTGCCCTACATGCTTATTTTATCAATCATCTGAAAAAAATTGACAGAATTTTTTTTTCTGAGACCAGAGAGTTGGACGTCCTCTTTTAAATATATGGCAATGGGTCATCTACCTTTAAAAAATCTGCAGAGTTAGCTTTATACTGTTCCAATATAGGCCACTGAGTATTTATTGAGAGCAAAATTTCTGTTATTAAGTGAGACATTTCTTAAGTGAGCTTTGCCCCATTTTACAATATTTTTTGCCACAGTTGTTAATAAATCACTGCAGTTGTTAAGTTAGTAACACGTTTGTTTCGTTATTTTTTTGGAAAGTTTTTTTATTTTTTATTCTCATACAGTTATAGGTATACAGTCATAGAATTGTTATTCTTTACATTTGTCATTCTTACACATTTATTGTTCATTTTAAAAGATTACAATATACAGTTTGGGTTGCTTTATTTAGCATCCCATCCGTCTGTTTTAACACAACCTTATTTTCCCTTTCTTTTCTCCCACCCTCCCTTCTCTACTTTCTTCCTTCCTCCTCTCCTTCCTCTTCCTTCTTCCTTTACTTCTCTCCTTCTCTTTCTCTCCCATCCACCCTACTCTCCTTACCTATTTCTTCCTTCCCTCCTCTTCCTCTCCCCCTCCCCTCTCCCTTTCTTTTGTTGTTATAGGTGTCTCTTTCAAATCTCAATTTGTTTTCTTGGGATGGTATTTCCACAAACCCAAATATAGCTTAGTATCATTTCTTATTCCCTGCCCTTCGCTAATCTAGCCTGTTTTTCCCCCTTTATATCTCATTCTTGAATATAGGTGAAACTCGAAAAATTAGAATATCATGCAAAAGTTCATTTATTTCAGTAATGCAACTTAAAAGGTAAAACTAATATATGAGATAAGACTCATTACATGCAAAGCAAGATAGTTCAAGCTGTGATTTGTCTTAATTGT